TCCTCCTCCTCCTCCTCTTTGTAAGCGCCTAATCTCTAACTGGATGGCTGGTCACGCTGTGGCCAATCAGGAGCACTCCTCCCCGATGCGTTGGCACGAGCGGCCCACCTTGCGGTCCAGCTTCACCATCTTGAGGACTGCCTCTTCACGCCCGCGGCCCAGATGGTCGAACAGACAGTCGTGCTGTTCGGGTAGACGGTGAAGCATGCAGAAAACATAGCCTGGAAGGCAAACAGAAACAAAGTGGTGAGGGAGGAAGTGACCCCAATTTACGTTTGATTGTTCCCACGTTGCAAGGACCTCTCATGACCTGTCAAACAGATCTGAGCTGTCCCAATCTGAAGACAAGTGTGTGTGTTACCTGCATACTTGTGTATCCTAGTGATTCAGACAAGATGCTAAAATTTCACTTGACAAGTTTTAGACAAAAATTGGACTTTGACAAACTCGCCTTCAGTCAAGATCGACTCATTAGCTTTTTCCCCCAGAGCCTTCTACAATTTAACCCTGTCAACTCATTTCTGTGAAATTTTTTTCTGCTCCTGTCACTACTGTACTCAAGGTGGGCTCATTTTTTATCACAATATTAGGTCCTGCACCTCTATGGAAAAAGTACAGCCATGAATAGAAGCAGAGAGAGAACTCACAAATCACTTCTGTGCAGTATAACAAAGTGATAAGGCCAAGAATCATTTAAAAAAAAAAAAAAAAAAGTTGAATTTCTTAGATTATTCATTTTCACAAAAAGGAAAAACATCGCAATCAACACATACAGCATTTTTCCAAGTGCTGACAGGTGTTACAAATTCTTGTGGTGGCTGTACTTCTATGGATAATTTGCTGCTCACATTTTAAATTAATTTCTAGATTGGTTTTCTTTCTGCTCTATGTTCTGTGCTGCAGTTGAGCTGAAGAGTAACAGAATTTTTTATGTGACTGTTGGTCACAGCTTAATCAGTTCTAGCTTTTCTTTTTAAAAACATATATTCAGGGCGTGGTTACCGCGAACAGCTTGTATTTGATAAATTGTTAAAATGAGAGGTGGAAAAAAGTCATTTCGATGAATTATCCAGATTTTCATCTTAGATTTGGTAATATAAAAATAACACATGATTAGTTCAAGGTCTGTTGTCGGAATTCTGACGAATCTTGTTTGTTTTTACACTTTCTTGTGATGATAAATGGTGTAATTTGGGTAATTTTAAGGCACTAACATGCCTTTCAAACCCGCTGGCAGGTTTTTGGTGCTCAGAGGGTGAACATGACATCAATAGCTTTTAAAATAATAATAACAAGAGACATATTTTCAACCACAATGGGGACCCTGAGGCAGTGAAATTAAAAAGCAGCGGTATTACGGTTCAAGCAGTGGCGGTACTGACCACAGCGACAGGAGCCCAGTTCCTGCTGCACCAGCTCTAGTTTGGTTTGGCAGCGATAGCAGCGCCGACGGTTCTTCTGCTTGGGTGTCCCGCGGGTCTCTTCGCTGCTCCCTTCCTTCTCTTCTGTCCGTGGTCGCTTCTCTGGCGTCGCCTCGCTCTCTGAGCCCGAGGCTGAAAACAAACAGCAGGGTTAAGAGTTAACACTCAAAGTGGAGCAGGTCACACAGAGATACTGGCAGGAGAAAGAGGCCGGCTGTACCTGATTCTCGTGGACGTTTTGTGGGTGTGCAGAGTGTGCCTTGGGCTGTTTCTGTGGACGACACGCCTGCAGATGGAGAATTAAAGGGCAAGTGAGACATGATGTGAAATGACCTCCTTGCTGAGGAAATAAATAAATACAATAAAATAACAAAACAGATGACCCAGTAGCAGAGAGGTTGGGGCGGATACCACATGGGCACAAATACTGTCAACAGCGAGTCCCCACTTTGATTCCCAACCGGCTGTATCTTTACTGCATATCATTCCCTAGATTTCCCCAGATTCGATTTCACTGTTCCTATCTAATAAAGGCAAAATGCCAAAAGAAAATCAAAAAAACTACAATAAAAAACAATTAAAAACTACATGAACAGACTGTATTATGCACCACACTTAAGCAAAAACACCATTTGTTTTAATTTTGCTTATCAGAAGCACAGAATTTAACCTGTTTAGAATTGCAAGGAGTCTCATTTAGACAGTTTTCTACATTAACCTGAAAATGAAGCAGGAATGTCAATACTTACATAACAACTCTTTAGATGTTCTTAAAAACAACTGTACTATTCAGCAGGGCTACATAATTTGACAACTTTCAAAGGCAAGTTAACCTTTCTAAAAGTCCCATTAAATGGTAGAACAAACAAAATAAACATTTCAACAACATTTCTGTGAACATGCTGATTTGGAGTAAAAATGCCCGTTTCTTTAAAAACCGTGGCAAAGCATATTTTATACATGACAGAGTGCAAACAAGGTGACACTGTGAAAGGGGTCCCTCAAGATTTTGTGCGCAGTGAGTGAGTTTAACGTCATTGTTTAGCTGTCCTGTGTGGAAAGTTACTGTTCTGAGAAAAAAAATCCATTGTACATCACCATGTCAGTACCAAACAGCAGAGATACACAGTTAATAATTATCATAGCGGCGCATTAAGCAGCTAAAGATAATTTGCTTGTGGAGATTGGCAGAAACATGTCTCCAAATGAGAGCTAACATTGCTACGCAACCGCTCCATGTATAAATAGCTTCTTGTTGAATTTGTCATATCAATTTAAAAGGTAAATTCTGTTCAAAAATTATTTCTGCTGCCCTCAAGTGGCCAAAAACGAAACTTGCAATTTTTGAATTCAAAAACTGAGCTACTAATACTCATGGTATAACATCTCCTGCTGTATAGATACAAGCATGGTAAACATACGGATTTGACCAACTAGAAGCTTTCATGTTTTATCTCATTTTTCCGTATCCCCAACTGTATGCGAGTTCCAGTTGCCCTTCCACTATGTGTCACTTTGTACATGTGGACTACGACTGTTGCCATTCTGTGTCGAAAACCAAAATCTACACAGACCTATTCCTGCATCTTCACAAAGACTCATTTCAAGATAGGTGAAGGCTGCATAGCAAAATTTGCACATGTACAAACCATAAAAACAACATTCTGCTGATATCTAGGCTTGGGCGATAAACAATGGCAACATTTACCGGCAATAGACACTTCATTAATACAGTAAAAAACTGTTTCATAGAAAGTTGGATATTTTTTACTTACATTTATTATACGTAACCCGCCATGAAAACACATAAATGCAAAGTTTGGTTGCATGAACATATCCCAAGCCTGCTCCCGTAGCGGTTTTACGATAGTCTATCGCATCCCTTGATAACAGAGCCCCTTTGCCCTCCATTGCCCCCCTGTGGCTCCCACGCAGGTCTCGTAAGGCGCCTGAGTCACATGGGCCTCCCATCACCCCCCAGGAACCTAAACCTCAGCTCGGTGTGGCAGCATCGCCATGGCCACCCTCCACGTGCCCCTGGGTTTTAATTTGCTTCTTTTATTTAGAGTGTATCATGGGGAGATCATTCCTTTATCCTTATTTATTTCTATCCACGTATGTATATTTAGTTATTTGTATGTTTTTGAAAATTACTACATATGTAACTTGATAAATATGCTCAAGTGATTCAATTCAAAGTAAACCTTTGTTCTGCTGGTCTTCATCAAAAATCAGTTTTTACCAAGACTGACTGAAACCAAACATTCTATTGCGATCAAATTTCCAGCTACATCGCCCAGCCCTACTACTGTGATCTACAAAGAAGCACTGCAGATGTATACTTGTTGTGAGAATTACTGCATGAGTTCTGCAATGTACTTCACATTAAATGATGTTTCCTTGGTGCGAGTGTCTGAAAGTTTCAGTGCCCCACCATCTTGGGACTGATTCCGGTCAGAGCTTTATCTTCTATGTCAGCCAAGCTCTATATCTCTCTCTGTACTTTCCCACTGGATATAAAGACAAAAAGAACAGACAGTCCAATATTTCTTCAACACCTTTGCTATGGACAACCAGTACTGTGCTTATCAATTCTGCGAGAAATACTGTGCTGCAGAACTGATCCAAAGTTAATGCCAATTTTCACTGACCCCTGTGACTATTTTCCCCATTGTTTAGCAGATTATTACACAGTTGTTATGCAGGTTTTTGTTTCCCCAAGTTTTTTCCAAAACAGAAAGTACATTGTGAGTGTGAAAATGTTGATTGATTGATCTTACCTTCCCTCGTGCTGGAAAACGTGGGCGAGGGCTCTTCGGCTGACGGCTGCTCTGAGCTAGAGGGTGGCGACAACGATAGGGATTGGCTACTGCTACTGCTCGTCTCGCTACTGAAAACGGGTGATTGGCTACTCCCAGTGCTTTGGATGGGCTTGGAGGTGCAGTCCTCCACTGGCTGCTTCTTCTGGATGTCTGTGGTCAAGGACAGCAAGTAAGGGAGCAGAGAGGAATGTAAAAATAGGACAGCAAAAGGAACGGATGCAAACAGAATGGGAGAGAGAGAGAGAGAGGAGATGACACGGAAACGGTGAAAACACTGAAACTGTGACTCACACACCTGGTTATGATGTGTAGTACAGAAATACAACTGCACAACCCACCTCCTGGTACTATGTCTGTGATGGGCATTATGTAACAAGCACTAATGTATAGGAAATAGTGTTTTGCAGTGAGCAGGCAGATTCCTATTGGAATATTTGCATAATAAAGCTGTACCCAAAAGACATTTATTTATATACATTTTTAAATCCAGTTCTCTGCAAGCAGGAAACGATCAATTAAAGCCAAAGACAAAAAAAAGTCTGGTAAAACAGAGTTAGTGCTCAGCCCAAAGAACTCTCATATGTTATTATCTTTTGCCTCTCCACTTCCTTTGGTCTCCTGGTTTTTCCTGCCTGTGAAACGATCATGCATTGGCTGTTTGGTAAATATAACTGAGTGCAGAGTCTCCCGATGTTGTGTTCCAGGGTTCCTTTGTGTTTACGGTCATCCCTTCCAGTGACCTCTCACTTTTTGCAGACAGTAGAAACTTGTTGAAACAGAGTATTCATTGAAGTCACCAATTATCTGCTGTGTTTTTTCAGATTTTTTTTTCAGTGACAGCGCAGTCCAGAACATAGCTTTGTGGGCACATTTACAGAAGCACCAGCTGACAGGTAGCTACTTTAAAGAGTTGTATGTACATCGTAGATAGAAAAGCATTACCCAAAGCAAACTTGAATTTCATGCAAGGAACAGCTTGAACAGTCAATTATTTGACTGGTTAGTTAAAAGAAATGTAATTGCAATGTTTTGACTAATTGAATAATAAGGTCATTTTTAGCAAATATGCCACAAGTGATCTTTTTGGCATGTCTGCTCCTAGCTGTCTTAGTGTTTGATGAACAGGGCTGGGCATGGGTAGCGGTTCCAAAGCTCAGATCCCAAAGGAATCATGAACAAAGTTTAACTTCAATCCTGCTCATCGCTTCCTAAACACAACACACTGCAAACACCTACCAAACATCTACTGCTATCCGCCATTAGTCATGTTAGTTGAATGTTAGCTGAGTGTTTTGCCATCTCCTAAGGCTGTTGTCTTAATTAATCATGAGTGTGGCATTGTTCTAAGAAAGGAGTTGCTTAATAGGAGGTGAACAGCACAAACTGTGTGATTGTCTTGTAACAAAAACTTTCAACTTTCAAGGACACGTCTGCTGTTGTGAACACAAAAGTACAAACTAGATGAAAGACCATCCCTGTCACCATTACGTTATCGAGGTGTGTTTCTCCTGCTAACTTTATCCTTCTATGTTTATGTGCATTCACACATAAAGAATGCATGAGGATTACATGAACAAGCGCTCTAAATTCCTCTTCCATGGCAGCGAGCACAACCCACAGATGTTCAGTAAATTATCAAGGCACTGATTAAAGAAACTTTACAACCCCTTATAGTAACAGTTTACTCATCCCGAAAATGAAAAACTGTGATGTTAAAAGCAAAACTACTCACTGCAGAAAAATGCTTCCTGTGACTGTAATTCTATAATACATGACGTTGCATCATAAGTTTACTATTACTCATCCTTTAAAATGTAAAAGCCAGATTTTACTGTTGCAGTAACCCTCACCCTCTCCCTCTTAAAGAATCAGAAGGCGTTAATACCAATCAGAAGTTTCATTTTCGGAGCGATCGTTTTAAGACATCCCACTGAATTTTGCTCATTTGTGATCAGCAGTTTCCACCATTTGCCATCTCACACACCAAAATTTTATCGAAGATTTATTGCATACACGGCAAAGCAATCCGCAGATTAACAGATAATGAAAATAATCATTAGTTGCAGCCCTAATGTGCCAACTCCATCTCTCCCTCCTCTCATTTTCCTGACAGCTCCATCTGTCATCTGTGTAATAAGCACGAGCCCAATGCCCAAGAAATACCTGCTGTTCATCAGCAGATTTTTCAGCTTTAACATGTGCAAGTCCTCAGAGGACTAAATGCACCAAATTCAACATTTTCAAAACTGCTCCCAACTGCATTACCACGTGACTATAAGTTAACTTTGCCAACTGAGACATGACAGTAAGAGAAAGGCAGGAGCACCTTGGACAACTTGGCTGCACTTTGGCCTTCTATACATAATGATCTCAGACATTATCGAACACTGAGGATACTGTCTTTACTCTCCCTTCCGTCCACCTAAGGGAGGGTGAGGGAGGTCAGCCTAGATTTTAGTTTCTCCTCCACATGTGGGCTAACCCACTTCTGCTCAGCCTACATACTCATGTGTATTGAGTCTATTATAAGCAGTACTGCTGTCTGTGATGCTAGACTCAAAGCTGGGCCCTTAGGTCCTCGCTGTCTGCCATACTCACTAGTTGCCATGGCCACCGACAGGGCTGCAGTGCACCCTAAACCCATCCACCTGAACCAGACTAGAGAAGTCACTGGGAAAACTTCATGCATACCTTGACATTTTCAAACTTTAATTGGTCTTTTTTTTTTTTTTTTTAACCATGCAGGAGTTATACTGCAGAAAAACAAACTTTCTACATTCAACAGAGTTCAAAGCAAAATGCTGAATGTAGTAACCACAGACAAAGATTACTGTGTTCTGAATTCACAGCTGACTCTAACCGCTTAAAGCTACCAAGCTACTCTCTTTACAGCAATTTACCATTATTGTTTAATGTAACTGAGTCTCATCATCCGTTATGCAAGTAGATAGACAGATAGACAGACAGATAGACAGATAGATAGATAGATAGATAGATAGATAGATAGATAGATAGATAGATAGATAGATAGATAGATAGATAGATAGATAGATAGATAGGATAGTTATCTTTTGACATTTTGACTCCACCAAAATGTAAATACATAATTTTAAAGTGGGCCACTTTACTTGTTCTTCCTTTTTCCCAGAATGACTTCTTAGCATTATTAGCATTCCTAACTGAAATCAGCTGGCACACCTTGCCCCAAGCTGCTGCTAGCTGTGTCTCTGGCCGTCAGTGAGAATGACTCTGCATGCCAAGAAGCAACTTAACAGAAAACGAATGTGTAACTGTTTCACCCCATTTATATGTGAGAGGCAACCACCTACAAGCAACCCTGAAAGACAGTGAAAGACACAGAGGACCTGAACTGCACCCATGCATGCATCCATGTGGGGATTTGAATCTCTGTAGCAAAACGTGTTAACGCTGTAGTCAAGCAACAATCGTACAGGCGAACCAAGGGACGTACAAACTTGCTAAAATGTGACACGGTAATCACCTAGCCTTTCAGTTCACACAGTTCACCTTTAACGCTTGAACACCCCAAAGTCCAGGGTTTCGTTTCCCCTTCTGAAATTGACTTTTAGCTTAAAATGACACCAAATGACAGCCACCTGCCAAAGCAGAGGGCGACTTTCCAATAAGTGTGATCATTTGGCCAAAATGTGCTTCAATTGATCTAATACCAAATCTGACTTTTGCCACACACACAATTTACTGCCAATAGAAAATATTAGCAATATAATATTAATAAAGAATCAAACCCTGGGAGGCATTAAAACTATGCTTTTGCAGTGTACATTTTACCACTTCTTTTTGTGTCCTGTGCCTTCTTTGCTGTGGAATGACATCCACATGCCACCCACAATAAAAGAAGTCACTTCTCCTCGTGCTGTTTTTATTTCCATTTATAAAATAGTATGCAATGAGAAACAACTTACCAGCAAAACATTTGGAGCATAGATTCATGGTTTTACTGGACCTGCAAAGACAGAAAACAATGTAAATGTTACTGACCTCCTCAAATATCCAAGGTTTGCTTCCACTTATTACAACTGTCTACATGTTAACACGTTGTCTGGTCCAAAACCAACAATTTTACATTTGAAAGCAAATGAAAAATGCATGTATGAGCTTCATTTTCTGGCAAAGCATAAAACTATTTTACTCTTTATAAAATAAAACATTTGTTTTGCCAGTGTCATTCCAGTGCATATACAGGGAAGATAAATGCCAGTCAGACAGTCTCTGTCACAAACACTCGAAGGATCTTTCCCCTTTTTTCAACATCTCAAATGACAATTGAAGAGTTCATTTGCAAAAACAGATGACTCAATTTTTGTAGACTTTCAGAAAACTTATTTTTTTGCTGTTTGCTTGAGATAATATCAATCAAACTGAAGCTGAGTGGATCTGACTCAGTCGAAATGACAAAAACAGAGATAACTTAAGTTGATTGACATTGTCTCAGGTAGACGATGGAAAAGTGGGTTTTCTGAAGGTTTGTGAAGAGTTATGTGTTTTTGCAAATGAACTCTCCAATTATATCCCATCCTAATCAAACATAACATCTTTCATGAACCCTCCCAAGGTTTAATCCCTGGAGTCTTCTTATTGTTTATCATTTTTAGCCGCTGGGCCTTTATGTCGCCATACATTCAAGGCAGACAAAAAATAACAAAAGATGAAGTAGCAAACAGGTGTTCTACATCAGGAGCATATGGTTGGAATACAGTAAATTATTTCCCTGTTAAACTATCGTTATTGATGAAGACTGACGAATACAGACAAAGAAACTAAAATGTCTTCTGACATGCAAACCTAGTCCATCTTCTGTTCCATATTAGTGTGGCTTTTTCTCCAGGCAAAAAGAAAATAGTTTTGCTAGAATGTTACCAGTATTGGCTTTGATACTAGGCGCCCTGCTGTTATGATGATTAAAACATCAGTGCGCGACACCTTTAACAAGAAAACTGTGAATATATTTGTGAACATTAGGTCTAATTTTTTTCTGCAACTGCTCTAACATGCTCACATTAAGCTCAAGGGCAGCTGAGGCGGACATCACTAAGCTCAACATGTTACTGGTTGTCTGGAGGGCGATGGGGTGGATGTGTAATGGATGAGTTCCCCGTCACCTGTTTTATGGCTGCACAGTAGCTCAGCCAAATCAGTGATTGTTCTACAAAAACACTGTCATTTTGAAAGTCATTTTGTGGTGAACAGTCATGATTTTATCACAGAGAAAGCCTCATCCTTACACATTTTAAGAAGGCCAAGATTTAGCATGCTGTAACATTTCCTGTGACCTTAAAGTTCAACTACTAATTTCAAGCACATTCAAAGGACAATGAGCAGTTTTATCATCTTTCTGATTTGTATCTTTAAACTGTACATCTATTATTTTTTTAATCTGGATATCCATTTGTCTCCTAGCTTTCTTGAAGTTTGGCATAGCCGTTGCTACAGGCACGTCTTTCCTACACCTTCTGGATCTCTCTCTTTAATGTCCGTACCACTACAATATGTCAGACTGAGCCATTTCTGTCAGCTGTGAGTCCTCTCAATAGTACACAAGCTGGAACTTCGTAGGGTATTCTGATCATTGTTCCTACAGGAGCTATGTGGCCGATGCAGCGGGACAAGCCAGCACAGACGCTTTTTACCTTCAGCAAGGAGGTGAACAGTTTCACCTGTTTAAGTCACTGCATTAGCGTGTCATCAACAACACAATAAAACAAACTAAAACAAACATTTCAGAGGCCAAGCTACTGGAGACCCACATTCAATGAAAAACTAATTTTGAGACCATTTTTCCCCTGGTCGTTCATGATGCTTAAACTTCAAATTCATAAAGAAATGTATCCAAATACCAAAGGGGGGAGACAAACTAATAACACAAGAAGTATGCACTGTTCTACATCCAAGTTGTACGAATCAAGTTTCTTTTCGTCAAAATGTACTCCAGTGCGCTCCCAGGTGACGATCCAAGTTGGAGACCAGATGGTAAAATTTGATTATGCCCACAGAAAAAGTGACACATCCAAGTCAAATATCTTGTTGAGGTGCCTAAACACTACTGGTTCATGTAATAGTAGCGAGCAGAGTCAGGGGGGGAAAAAAAACAAACACAGATAAGGGAACACAGAAAACTAACCATTAACCTTGAACCGTGGAAGAGAACAACACTCAGGCACCGACTATTTACAGTATTTCTCTCATTCTCTTAAATAACAGCCAGCTGCTGAGAGAATGGAAAGATGTGTTTAAGTTGATGTTCAAGTACCATTACATCACAGACATTTCAAAGAAATGGTCCATTAAATAAAACGAATGTCACCATTACATACTATATTGACTAAACGGCACTGACAAGGGCTGATGCAATCAGAGAATTTTTAGTTAACGATTAATTGTCACACAAATAATTGTGATTAATGATTTAATTGTTTTCTCTGTTTATTTCATGCCTTTATGAGTTTTAAATTATTAACACCTTTGACTGTCGCCTTTTTTTTTTTGCTGCAAATCACCTTCAAGTTACTGGGTCCTCCTTTTCCATTTGGCTATAAAACCAAAATGTGCCCAAAGCCGTGATGTGGCGTTTGGCTCTGCAGCTAAATCCACGATTTTAAAGTCATTAGATGCTCATTGAAGTGCAGTCAGTTGTATATTAGAGGTTAAGCATCTCCAGATAAACATTAAACTAAAGAAGGAGGCTCAAATGCTGAAAATGCAAAATTATCACGATCAGCTCAAAAAATTGCCATCAGGTGAGTATTGTGACAGGCCAGGCAATTTCTTTACACACATACACACACTAAATTTCATTTCAATTCAAGTCAAATAACTTTATTTATCCCCTAGGGGCAATTCAAAAGCTCACTGAGTGTTTCACATAAAGACATAAAAGAAAATAAACCAATAAACTCAAACGTGTTCCTACCAAAACTATTTGCAAATGAATAAATGTAATGCCTTCAAATGAGATAAACACTGGCTGCTGTATTGCCATTAGAGTTTGTATTAAATTCTTGAAGACCTACATCACATCAGCTAGTAACTGACTTTCCATGTACAGCTGTAGTTTCTTAAAATTGGCTAATGGTATACATAAACCCAGCAGGTCACCATTCCAACCAGGTGATTTCACTGATTAGCACACTTTTCCACCAAAGAGAGGAAACTAGTGAATGAAACAACCTGGTGTAGTCTCTGGTGGAGATCGAAACATACGTAGCATATTTTTTTAGCACACATTTGTGTATATCATAGCTGATGGTATGTAAAAAAAATAAAAGGTAAATTATATTGCAGTTATGTTTGACAGACATTGCAACTGTGATCTAAGTGGAAATGGTTTTCTTTTTCTATACGTTTCTATTTGTAAGCCGGAGCATCGCTGTAGCACCACGGTGCCTTCGTACATACTTTAGACACATCTTACTACAGCATCTGAGATGTGGATATTGCACTTGCAATACTATTTATGTTTATTTTTAGCTGTACTGTACATAGATTATAATATCCTCTCTGGCTTTTAAAACTTGACAAGAATTAGATAGAAATAAAAGAGTAACTGCCTCACAAGAGCAACATTTTAATGACAATCACTCTTCTATTATTAAGACCTGAAGTTAAGAAAAATATTACTTAAATCACATGTATTTCAGCAATGTACTTCATGTTGATGAGACATGTCATCATTCCCATCAACCCTAACCCCTAACCCTAACCCAGGTGAGGAGTTCAGTCGGAAATACAATCCTTCAAAGGGTTAAACGTAACCTTATTCAAGATGTTTTTAAGAGGCCTTGAGTTTCAGTGACATGTGCGAAGAGCCTGCATGGGACAGGGCAGCGAGCTGCCCCAGGCCAGGTGTTATTCTGAGCCTGGCCAGGCCGGGCCATAAACACACAACGCTGCCATTTGTGTCACCTGACATTGACAGGTGGGTTCAGGTTTGCTTTCTGGACACCACAAAATGAAGGCAATTTGGGGGGGGGGGCTGAAGTGGGGGAAGGAGGGGGTTGGTAACCAAATGACAAGTCATATGACAATGTGCTGTATTGAGAATACCTCAAAACAGGGGAGCTATTATGTTCCTGGTTGTATTTGACACAGTAGTAGCAGGTTACCCCCCTGAAATCATTGATAGAAGTGTGCGGTAGGTACAACAGTGTGTGTGTGTGCGTGTGTGTGTGTGAGAGAGAGTGAGTGTGTGGAGCTCAGTAATGAGATGCCAGTAATCGTCTCACACTGAATGTTTTTGTCTCCTATTATGGACTTAAACGTCTATAAGGAGAAGCGATCAGTCACGTTTGACTGGTAAATAGATTAAAGGTTAGATATGGCCATTTTTCCTATGGGGTAACACAGTGAATCACATCCGGTATGCAACACACATCCACCACTTGACAAGACCGAACGTAAAGGGTGTTAAAATAACTCAAAAAAACAGCTTTATCACGACAGTAAAGCCAGAAGATTTGACCGAAATCAAGTGTTGACGATAATATTTCATCGAGGTGATTGTCGAAAACCGGGCATGTTTAAAAGGAACCTGCTGGCAATAAATCATTTTCTATCTCGGGTACGTCATCTCCTGGCTTCACAAATTGCCTTAAAACACGATATAGCACGGTCTAAAACAATACCCAGCCTCTCAAAGGACAACGGTGGGATTGTAAACTTCAAAAACAGTGGAAATTCAGCTAGTTTTCAAGCTAGGAGGTTTATTTATTAGCTAACTTCCCAACCCCCCACCCTCGGCCTGCACAACAGAACAACAACAATGGGTTTGGACTAGTTGAACCCGTTGAGCATATTTCATCCGGATTTAGCCTTCACTTTAAGGTTTAATATAGTTTAAATGAGGTTTAACACTTACCCCCAAAATCCACAGGGACACCTGGGAGGTAGACTCGGAGGTTTGCTTCGTTCACTAGTGTCTCCCATGACTTCCAACAAAAAAAAAAAAAAAAAAAACGATATGGAAACGCGAGGCTGGGGATGAGTCCGGGGCCTGGTCGTTCAATGAGAAAAAACGAGCCAGCACTCAAGTTAGACAAAACGATAAATGTCCCTTTTCTTTTAAAGTCCACAAGTCGGCGAAAAGGCGGCGAACTCGATCCGTTTGGGCCACAAAACCCTTCCGTTATGTGAAACAAAACGGCTCAGTTTGAACTGGAATAATTGAACGGCACTCAAAGCAATCAGCTGGACGTTCGGACGTTACGACCGACAAACGAAAAGAGAGGGGCGTCCCGGTGTTTTACTCGACACCAAAACACCTAAAATAATAACCAGCTGTCCGCCGATACGGATAAAATACAAATATGACGACGTTAAATATGTGGGAGGGTGCGAGAAAAGAAAAAATAAATAGATTGAGGAAGGCCTTCCCCTCTTCACAGTTCAGGACCACCCCTATTCACACGTCGCTGGTACGAAGTATGCTGGGCCGGCAACGCGTCCATCAAACCAGAAATGTCAATATTGCCCAACGAAATGAAGGCAAAGCAGTGACACAAACTGGCATTTAAACTCGGTATTACGCTACAAAATTATAATGAGAACACGTAGAATAGATGCTATGAGTTTCTACATTCACTTAAAGCGAATACAAAGCGAAAATGTCCACGGGTTTGACTTGTCTGTGTCGATTCTGAGTGATTCAGGTCATGGTAACCCTCCCAGCTTCAGTAAAAAGCTGCTGGACTTCTCTTTTTTTGTATTTTGAAGACGTTTCACTTCTTCGAGATGCAAATAAGGAGAGAAGTACCTTCGGTTTTTACTGAGGCTCTTAGGAAGGGTTTGACTTGCTTTGATCACAGACTTCCCTGTAATCCGTTTTACTGATTACAGTGGAGACTTAACTCTCTCAGAAAATTGTAATTAAAAGAAAATCAAATCTATTGTAAAAACACGTGCCATGATTTGAATCACATAAAATGACTTTGAATCGCTAAATTTAAATAACTGCATTTAAAATGGACTAGCTCAACTTAAATATTTGTATTAAACAGTGAATAAGAACCACAGAAATTGAACTTGAAATGGCTAATCTTGAATATTTGTATTTAAAAATGAATTTGTCATACTTTGAATTTCTTAACTTGATTTTTTTTATTAAGTCACTTAATTTCAATCATTTGATTTAACTATGAATTGCTTAAATTGCAAAAAAAAAAAAAGTAAAAATTTTATTAAAATGACATAATTTGAGTTTAAATTCAGTCTTTTGAAACCATATTCAAAAATTAAAATTCCCTCCTTGATATTTTGATTTAGTCGTTGAAATTCAGATTCAATTTACTGTCGTATTGAGCCACACAATCAAGTCGGAGAGGAAGAGCAGTCTTGTGAAGGTCCACGACACTCCTTTTTGACCAATTAACACCTTTAATATAGATATATATAGAGAAAATTATTCGAGTTATTAAAATTCTGTGACTCAAATCCAGTTTCTAGTGGCACATATTTCTGACCATATAAAATGAGTTGATTAGAATTGCATCATATTATCATTTCTTTATATATCTGATATTTAACGGGGGGAATTGTAGTTTGATAACCATCTTAATATCTACTTAAGTTCTCTACTAAGTTCACCAGCATGTCTCTAACCCTGTCTGTGTCTTGGGGCTGGAAAGAGGTTAACAATGGTGTTCTTTAAAGTTCTTGTCTGACAACTATCGCCTGCTTCAGTTGAAATGAAACTGATGAGGGGAGAGGGCCAATCAAAACAGTAAAGTTATGCCTTCCAATCAAAACAATAAGCAGAAAGAGGCTTAAAAGTTTTGAAGAGCAGTTTGTCACTACAAGCAACATGTTTCACATGAGGCATTGCTGTCAAGATACTGATTACAGCAAATTTAAATGCACATTTATTAAGTGATGTATGACATGTAGGCAAGATAAAGTGAAACAGTAAAGGCTTTAAAACTAGATTTTATCCCAGGGCCCTGGTACTAGTGTCAGAATCAGGTAGTAATGCAGGGGATGTGTTAATTCCTCCATGTGCTTTTAGTAGTAGATACAGTAGAACAATTTTGCATTTACTTAAATTACAACAAATGCCCCACGGTAGTTGTGTTTTGTTTGAAAAAATAGTGGCCAACAATTTGACCTATGCGCAGTGATTATATTAGAGACACAATCTGCAAAGGTACACAAAACCAACATCTGTCTGTTTCTATTTTTTTGTCCCACTGTTCTAGTTAAAACTGGCTGCTATTCCTGCAGGACGGGACAAACAGCACAATCACTCAGCTTCACAAACACGACAAAATGCGTTTGAGTTTTAAAGTCAGACATTTTTAAAAGATTTATAACAATAAAAACACATCAACATGGCCCAAAGAGCTAGCAGGGCATCGGTGCCGAGAGCATGATGAATACCTGTTGATTGATCAGTGGCCACTGTTTGGTCTGTAACAGAAGCTCTCAAGACTAAACAGAAGATAGAGATCACTGTATTGCTTGTATCAAAGACCTCCACTGTGTTTAACAGCAGCAATTTAGGCAAGCAGATGGGTGTGACCCCTCACAGAAATGAACATTAATAAACAATGTCAGTTACTTTCATTATCACATTTTTGACAGGCAATGTATTAAACAAGAGGCAGTGAAATGCAATCACACGTCAATGGTCAAAAATAATATATATATGTATATATATATTAAGTAAAACTATGCATATACATAACGTTAGATGGGGTGCTGGGAGTGTGTTCTCTACATTACAATGTAACCTGAACAAAGCCCTATTTTTGTTCTGTTAAACTCTTACGGAAGACTTTATCGAACTAATGGGTAATCTTCTAAAATGTAGATGGATGCCTAAAGTAAGCTTACAGAAACATCAGTGGGTCACACAGGGTAGTTAAGTATCTCAGGTTATATAACAACTAACTAAACGTTTCTGATAAAGGAGTTTTTAAAGACGAACAACTCAAAAGTGCAACATCAGGACACAATGAAAACAAACAGGAACCACAGCACTGACAACTTAACTTAAAAACAAACCTCCAAAAACACACAAAAGACAGCTCAAACCTAAAAGTTTAAATTAATTTAACATACAAACAGCAAGACACCAAATCCAGCACTCCAGTACTGTACTTCAGTCAGAAGACCCAAGCTGCAACCGTTGTTTTTGTATACTTGAGTAAAATAAAGTGCCAATGGCAGCTGCTCATGTATCTACTGTATATAAACTGTATGTCCGGCAGCCCAAGTGCATACACAATTTGGTCCGAGCATCTAAGCCCCAATTTTCAACAAGCTAATTGATTTCCCCAATCATTTGTGCCAAGCTATTCAAGTGCTTAAAATGCTAAATTAAGACACTCAGTTCAATGTCGGTTTGTTTCAGTGAGGTTTGTCTTGAGGTATGAATCTTAACTATCAAAAAGTCACACCAGATACTACCATAGATTTTGGTTTCAGGTGTGAAAGCTCGTCATCAAATACTTCACAGCTATTACTCAATATGCAAATGAATCATTAGATTGCGTGCTATTTGCATACAAACGCCACGGAGTGCATTAGCTCCACAGCTTTGGCAAACTTTTGAAGAATTTACTTCCAGACTTTGAAAAATATTTGACTGCTACTCTGTTAGCTTGATGGTATGAAAAGTGAGTAGAGTCCTTTTAAGACAGTTTCTTAAAAAAATAGCTTGATAAGGATAAACTCCTTTTTCTATTATTATTGTTATCGCATAAAATTCAAATAGCACCCCCTCTCCCTCCCTGCCCTGGTCGTACTGCTCTTTGGCGATACAGTACAACCATATTTCAGTGTGTGCCTCATCTTTGGAGAAGTAAAGATTCGACCTTCATGATTTTGTTTTAGTAGCTAAAAAGTACCTTCATAAAAATGTATGAGCCAGCGAATGTAATACCTAAATTTCAGTTTCAAAACTGGGAAGACTGGAGCCCTAAATGCTGCTGCTACAGATACACCAGTCTCTAATGTTGCACTTATGACAAAAGGACCATGGATTATGACAACGAGACGATCGCCTAGCAGCGTTGTAGCAGTGCAGTCTGGACGACGAAGGCTGTGCAAAATGGCATTCTGAGGTCTCCCTTCCTCTAAACACCTTCCAACAAGGAGACGAGGGACTCCTAATGATGGGACTGTGAGGAAGATGATGAGGAGGACGAGGGCTGGGTAGGCAGCAGGCTGTGTGTGCGTGAAGGTCGCTGGGGTCGCGACTGCTGGGTGGCAGCTCCAGAATCAGAAGAATCCACACCCGGGCTGCCTTCATTAACCTCTGTGTCCAGCTGGGCCGGACACTCGAAGTGAACACAGTGGAACACCTGCAGGGATCACAGTCGAGCACTGACATGAGAAATCACCGACACACATATCGCTGTGTAATTCTGCTTGTGGCTTGAAAGACAGTTTATTTTGATAACTACTTATGATGGCAACAACCGACCACCAACAGTTAAGATGCTAGTATTTCTTTATTAATCAGCCTGGATATCAAATTAGTTTAACTATCCACTGACTTCGCTGATACTGTGGCTGAGACATTAAATTACCTGATAGAACAACGCTCACTGAACGTAAAAAGACCTGCCAACACAACTTAATATTCATTTTGTTCAAACTAAACACCATCTAACCTTAAAAAGAAGAAGAAGAAAAAAAAGAAAGAACCCTGATGAAACAGTAAACCATGTGTCACCTCATTAGCAGTGTTGTGAGTCCCAACAATACGGATGAAGGAAGCAGGCTGCTTATCAAACTTCAGTGTCTGCCATGATCTGTAAGTGAGGACAGGAAAAAACAAAATTAAAACAAAAATATGTAACAGTTGGATTGTATGTCATTTTACATGTTTTTGTTGACAACATCTATAATCTATTGTGATTATATTTTCCTGGTAGGGCCCTGATTACTGCACAAAGACTTCAAAAGAAAACTTTGTTGAGTCTCTGGAATTACCTGTTAGTTCAAGCTTAATATTTAGTCTTCAAGTGTAACAGCTTATTAAAGTTAGCACACATCTGCTAAAAATGAAGACTTAGTCAACAGTGGCTTGACTGTCGACAGATGTTTTTAAGGCTGTATCATCAAGGAAATCACTTTCAGACAAAGCTGCGTCACGTTTCCTTTGAGAGAAATTTGTGCTTCAAGGTGACTTTGTAATCAGACGGGCTTTTAAACAGGAATTGTGTACGCAGAAATCAACAAGTTCCTGTTCTGGTTTAAAGTCCTTATTATGCAGCTTGCTTTTCAGCTACAGTGTTATAACTTGCGTGTCCAGGCCAAACAGAGTTATTCTCTTGCACAAAAAAGCACTGCTCCTTATTGTCTGAAACCCAGTGTTTGAAGT